CCGTTTTATATCACGCCTGGCTTTCTTGGAGAAACATATTCTTTTTTATATTTAGAAAGGTACAACCCGAATGAATACATGTAGCTAATATAAATGAAAAGACACTCAAGTGGTTACGTGTTATAATCAGAGTTCTGTTTGGAAAAGTGGGCCCAATGTTCTTGAGCACTGTTGAATGTTGTGTTGTAAAGTGCAGTATATCAATTCATACAGTTAATGTTTGAATAAATAAGATCAATATGCCAGTAGCTCGATGCATTTGTATTTATTGTTAATAGAACTTGTACCCACAAAAGCCGTATTCAGTATATAAAGATTATTGTCACTTTAGTATTATTGGTCTAAGATTGACACGTCACTATTTAAATACTTGTGTGTGCCATGTGTTATAGACAAATAATATATGAGCGAAATGAATTACCTTCTAGACTTGACTTTGAACTGACGTCACAGTGTATATATAATATTACTGCTTTACTAAACTGTTTCCGCAATTCATCCCTTGCCTCGTGTCCTGGTAAATCATTAATATCCAATAATGCCACGCACTACAATTAAGGAATATAATTATTTATAATAAAATTGGAGCCACCAGGATTTAGATTCCATATCAAATGTATTAATGAATGATGGTCACTGAGACCATACGCTTGATTAATCTGCATGATGAAATGCCACCTTTAGGACTTTTTCTAATTTGCTTGAATCAAAATTGGCCGCCATACTAGTAATACAATGAAACGTCATAACATAGTGCTTTAAAAAGCAACATTTTGATTAAAGGTATTGGAAGATTTTTCCAATCAATTACGTGATCATGTTAAACACTCCATATTTGCATAAATACACTTTGCAGAAAATCAAGATAGTAGCCATGGCAATAAACATTTTAGTTTAAAAAATAATAATTTTTCAGACACCGGAAAGATTTCTCGTTACTTTTATGCCAATCTCTCCATTCCAAGAAACGGCCAATAATTATTATTTTTGAATTAACTATTCACCGATACATCCTTATCACAAAATCACCACCTCTTACGGACCGGGGTATCCGTGTGGTGTGGTGAAGATCGCGAGCAATACTGCCAGAGACGAGAACCATACAAAGAATAAATCGTGTTATACCCAATAAACTATGGTTTCACGTAATTTGTGCGTAGGGTTGTATGTGCAAGAATGCCCCACGTGCATTCTTGTTTCAAATTTATATGCATATAATTGTGTGAACTATATTGGTGGCCATAAGTCCAAATTATTCCTATGTGACACAACAAATTGTGTAAAAATTATTTGTGGGTTACACACGAGATTGAATATTATTGGGTATTTTGGGATATTTTGACCCGACTCCGTGACGTTGTTTTTTTATATGAACAACATTATTATTATTAGACGTGAAGATATTATGGCTGCCATTTTGGATTTAGGTAGATTAGAAACAAACTGTTCAAAGGCGATATCATTTCATCATGCAGATTCATATGGTCTCGGGGATCAAAATCAATTAAAACATTTTGCATAGCCTAAATCCAGGTACAATTTGAAAATCTCATAAGGTGCTGGACTCTTGTGAATACATCCGGTAAGGCACCTTGATTTGAGCCTGGATTACTTAAATGCAAACACATTAACATGTAGATGAGGACATAACATGTAGATACATAGTTAAAACAATGATGTGGCTTACCTTGGCGTTCTTCCTAAGCAGTTCATGCGCTATAGCATAACCGATTCCTTTAACATGTCCAGCTCCTGTGACCAGAGCAACTTTGCCTTCAATATTCATTCTGTTCATTACCAATGGCTAGTGCAAATAAATTCACCTAAATCAGCTAGGGAGAGTTGTGAAATAATATGCATTTTAGTTAGTATCAATGTCCATTTTTTATAATCGGTAGCTAGAGTGTAAATAAATTAAAATTAAACACTGGCCTAATAGTGGCTGCCGTAATGTGAAATCATTTGATATTGTATTTGTATTTTTAATTGAGAACAACATACACAAAATACACTTCTAATAGCATTGGGTATTTTGCGTGGGAATAGAGTAATATGACTGTACTTTGATGAGTTGATCAACAATACATTTTTTGTATCAAAGTAACAATCAATGATCTAGGGAGTCAGGAGTCGTGTATGCCAAACTAGGGAACCTCTAGGAATTATATTACTATTTTTGTTTGTCGTTAGTAAAGCTTAGAATATATAAGGGTTATGAACAAAAATATCTACCAATGTGACCATCGTATCATAATTGGTGATTTTAATTATATAAGCTATTATAACAACACACAATACAACCAGAAATATTGTGCTCAAACATTTAGTACAACAAATGTTTAAAAGTTCATTAAGATATGTATTCCCCATACAGGACACTGGCAATGGTATTACATTTCTATACACCCCCATATCCGACGATTGAAAATTGAAACCATTCACATCCCAGTAACACAGAAACGAACCAACATGAAACATGTATATGAAATCCAAACGAAGTGCGCTTCAATTGTAATTTGTCGACTGTTATCATGATTTACGAGTTCCTTACTAAAATTGACTGACGTATAAGAGTGTGTCGAACAGTTATAGAGTGTTTAGAATTGTATTGTTATCCATCAATCACCAATAAACTCACCTCGTTTACCGGAGGCTATGCCAGCACAGGAGTACTATAACCCGTACAGCTTTGCTGTTCATTAACATAATTTATGGATAAAGTGACGTATTATACACAGATCCAATGAGTATGTGCTCTGGGTAACAAAATGGTGGTACAGAATGGCATCACTTACTGACAATCATTTCATTGTAAATTGGTACACTGTTTAAAATCAGCTAAACATAACTGTAGTTCGAAGAGTATTAGAGAATGTATTATGTTTATTAAGAACTTCGAAGCGTTATATTCATGGCACTTCATATTTACATACATTTACATATATTTATGGTCAATTATGATGAAGAAATTGCCAGCTAGCTAGGTTTACAGAAGTTCATATGTTGAACAAGACATGAATGTTTCAGTGTTCTGCCTTTTATTCCAAAATACAGTGTAGAGTCACAACAGATGAGGCACATTGACTATGACGGGGAAGATTTAAAAGGAAACCATAAGAAAACACGCAAGCTGGGCCTGTTACAGTTAGAAAATGATTGAAATCATGATGATGGAAATGAACAATGCCATATAGAACAACATAGACATTCGGGGAAAAGTCCAGTCCAGTGCCCCTGAAAAAGAAGTTACTTCACAACAAGGGCAAATTGAAAGAAAGAATGTAGAATACAGTGAGATTTAAGATGCAAACAGTGCTGATACAGAAAAGAACCATGGGAAGACAATGTATGTAGAGATGTCAGAATGTGAAAAAGATGTGTATGTAAGGCAATGCATGTACAAATAGTAAAACAACAAGACCATGGTGACACTGAACTTGGTGATGGTTATGCAGTAAATCAATCAGACCATTGAGAGGCTGAACTTGCTGATGGTTATGCAGCCTATGGGAACTTGACGATGTAGATGCGGTAAACAACCTGGCATGGGGATACCAAAATTAGTGATGGAGATGCTGTAAACCAACCAGACCATTGAGAGGCTGAACTTGCTGATGGTTATGCAGTAAACCAATCAGACCATTGAGAGGCTGAACTTGCTGATGGTAATGCAGCCCATGGGAACTTGACGATGTAAATGCGGTAAACAACCTGGCATGGGGATACCAAAATTGGTAATGGAGATGCTGTAAACCAACCGGACCATTGAGAGGCTGAACTTGGTGATGGTTATGCAGTAAACCAATCAGACCATTGAGAGGCTGAACTTGATAATGGTTATGCATCCCATGGGAACTTGACGATGTAGATGTAAATAACCAGACATGGGGATACCGAAATTGGTGATGAAGATACAGTAAACCAACAAGACCAATGAGCGACTAAAACTGATTATGGTCATACAGTAACACAACCAGATCATGGGGAGACTAAACTTGGTGATACAGAAAACAAACCAAATGATGAGGAAATTGAGTTTGGTGACAGAGTGCAGTAAACTAACCAGACCATGGGGACACTGAACTATGGTGACGTTGATGCACTAAATCAACCAAATCGCGGGGAAACTGAACTGATGGTGATACAGTAAATGATACAAAGCCCCCCTCTCCCGGTCTCTTCTTTATTCATCTGCAATCATTAGCTGCTCACCTGATATGACAACATGAGGGGTTATCAGGCGAGTTGGATTGAGTAGTAAGCCATTGTGGAAAGTTTGGTAGGCAAGAGGATAAGGACGGGAGGCGGGAGGCGGGAGTGATGGCCAGTTAAAGGATTAGGCTGGAAAGAGTACATAAGTAAGTGAAAATAGGCTGAGAGGGGCTGTAGACAAGACGAAGAGGTCGGTTGGGATGGTAAACTTATGTGAAGTCTGGGATTGTGTAATAAATGAGAGAGAAAGGCTGGGAGAGGCATTAAATGGGATCAGGATACTGGCATGAGCCATAGAAGAAACGAGGCATCTAGGAAGGGTCGTAAATGAGGAAGAAAGTTTGGAAGGGGCAGTAGGTGAAAATGTGGAATTAGGGGAAGTGAGCGAAAGGAGGAGACCAAGAATGGTGATACGCAAAATGATTAGTTAGGGGGGAAGATAGGTTAGAGGAATAGTCTGGGAAGGGTTATAGGCGAGAGTGAGAGGCTGGATTGGCGAATCATTATGAAAGTTTGGGATTGGGTCGTATGAGAGAGAGAGGCTGGCAGAAACGATAAAGAAGAGCTGCATGGGTGTCCATAGGCGAGAGAGAGAGAGAGAGAGAGAGACCAAGAAGAACTGGA